AGGCTTTCGAGCCTATACAGCTTGGAGTAAGACAACATGCATGAAGAGGATGATGTGGACAAAATACTCATTTGCCTAATAATTCTGCACTCCCTGTAATCTTCTTTTCTTGACATTCACTCCATCATACATGCATGTGTGGTTTCAAACAAATGAAGGGGAAGGAATTACGGAAATGCCAAACTATAAAAATGAGTTTTCAGCATTCGCTTACAAGAAAAACTAGAACCTCAGTTTTACCAAAACTGAGAGAGGAAATTAGAATACATCCAATTAGTAACGGCAGAGAAATGTTCCTTGAGGCAGGAGAGGCTGTTGAGGTTGTTGGGCTTGACAGAAAAATATAACTGTGTTTCATCCTGCAAAGCAGTGGTAAGAGATCCCATTAAAACCATTAACTAGGTGACCCAGGGGTAACATATAAAAATAAATAAATAAACAGAATTGGTGCAAGGCTTGAAGCCTAGGCACTCCACAAACGAGCGGTGCAGATTAGAGCATACATTGATTAATATGAATTCTAAAATATCTGTTTGCTAAGTATGAAAAAAAAAAAAAAAAAAAAAAAAAAAAAAACACTATTTAAGAGCAGTACCGGTGATCCCAACCCAGCTTCATAGTATGCTAATAAGTAGCATTATCAACAGTATCAAAGGCTGCAGATAAGTCAAGCAGGACATAAATGGATTGCTCACCTTTATCCGAGTGCATAAGGACATCATTAATAATTTTCAATAACGCTGTTTCAGTGCTGTGTCTGTAACCTGATTGGAATTTATAGAAAATATTATTTACTCTAAAATCCGAATGAGTTGACGACCAACAACTTTCCTAAGGATTTTGAAAAGAAACAGACTGGAAATTGGCCTATAAGTATTTAAATCAGTGGGCTCTAAGGAGGTTTGTTTTTTAGTAGAGGGACGACGCTGGCTGGAATCCAGCCAGATGAAAGGGACCGACTGACAGGCAGGGTGAAGTGCACAAGTGTGAGACTATATTCAAAATATCTGTTGAAGAGATTATTTGAGAGAGACTTGGAATATGGAGAGCAGTCTTTTTCCATCTCTGTTCAGCCTTTCTTCATTCTCTTCTTTGGTGAATCTGACTTTTAACAGTGCGACATGATGCTGAATTGAAGAGCATATATTATTAAACCAGTTAACTAAGTCACTGATATCTGAAAAAATAGTTTTTGATGCAGTTACATCTGGGTTGCACATTACCAGCTGTTAGTATCTGCACCTTCACAGCCTGTTTGTACTTGACAGTGTGTTTTTGCCTGAAGTGGAGAAAGTGATGCTTTCACCTTTAGCAGGAACAGATTTCTATTTTATGTATTGTGATTTGTTGGTTTAAAGTCTGAAGCTTTGAAGTAGCTCCAACTGTCGTCTTTACCTGCATTTGTCTTCTTGTTGTGCGCACCACAGAACGTAAATGTATGGCCTTACTACACCAACAACACCATGATATGGCACTTTTAGATCATTTACAAATGTAAACCATTTTTATAACAGACGCATTTGGCACGACAGAAAGAAATCTTTATATCCTAAATGTATACTAACGTATGTATACTAAATGTAAATTTTGCACATTCAATCTAAAGCAACATGTAGAATCATTGTAACACGTAGCACTATACAGCGATTATAAACGACCGTGAACAGTTGTATGTGGGTTCTTACCTCCTGAAAATTGTGCTGGGTGAACTTATCTGCAATGCGGAGCAGCTCGCGGCAAGAGTGTGTGTCAGCAAAGGCCCTGATGCCCAGGCAGTTAGATGGATCCAGCTGCCTCTTAAGGAACTCGCAGCACGCCTCCTGGATCTCAGCAAGCTGGAGGAGGCAGGCTGCAGGGAGCAGCGTCTGGACATTCCCCTCCTCTACAGTCACCTGAAAGGGTGCAGATCAGGACATCAGATACACTGAGTTTTTTAGCTTTAGCAACTGATTGATCACAATGTGTGGTCTCCACAGCTCCTCCGTTTTTATGCATTCAAACTGCGGCTCCATGTCAGTCTCCTCACATCTTTTGAGAAAGTTCTGCTATAGTCAAGGTTATAGCCAAGAAACATGTTTTTCATTTTAATCATAGACCTTACTGTACTCTGCAGGAAATGAAGCCGCTTGCAAAGGTTTTGCTCTCCTGATTCGTACTTTTTGAAAACTTTGCCATAGACTTGTTTGGACAGGTTTTTTACATTCAATATGCAGTTTCATCAGTTTGTCTTTTTATTTTATTTTATTTTTTTTTAAACTTAATGTGCACCTGTGGTTAATTCTAATAGCATACTACCATCCCTACCTGTGATGTATAAGCAAAGTCAATCAGCAGCTCCATGGCTCTCTCATCAATGTCACGAATAACCACTTCCGTCTGCCTGCTCTCTGCCAGCTCTCCAGTAAACATGGCCCTGAAGAAGAACGGGAAAAAGAAAGATGACATTATTTTTTGTGTCACAGCAATCACTGGAGCCCAGGAATTTAGCTGTAAATAAACTAGCCTGATGTGGGATCACACAGTGTCTCCTCATACCTGAAATAGGGGCTGCAGGCAGAGAGGATCACACGGTGCGCGTAGATCTTCTTGGCACCCACCACCAGCACCACGTCACAGAGCTCCCGGTGTTTTCTCAGCAGGTTGATCACCTCCAGGGTCTGCCTCGGGTGTTTGTCTGAGACGTAGGGCATGCGTGCAGGCTGGGGGACCCCTTCAGGGAGCTTGTTGGGGTCCCCCAGAGTACAGCGGCTGGTGATGTCCATTCCAGTGGCGTCCTGACGTGCGCTGGTGGCCCTGACATTAGCACATATCAATATACTCTTAGTTACATTAAATTAATTTCAATTAGAATAAGCTAGCCAAGAACCCACAGTGATGGTAATGCTGAGAGAATGCTGACCCCAGCCAGGCAGTCGGACCACGAACTTTAACAGGTAACAAAAGTGATGAGCAGTCAGGCTGCACCCTCCGTTTCTACCACTCATGTTTCTAAAGTACAATCACTGTGGTGATCACTCTAAAGTCTCTTTGTGCTCATTTTCATCTTTGCATTGTATTAATATCTAAATACTACGGAAAAGATCATGTGTGTTCTCATTAGGATGTGTTGGTGTGTGAGACTGTAGCTTATAGGTTTATATTTGTAAATGACAAGTGCGAGACAAGGTGTTTCAGGACATTTTGCAGAGAAACACATAAGTAACAAAGTACTTTCTCGTGGGAGTAATTAAGTTATATAGTGCATTACTTTACAAGAAAAGTGTTCCAAGTACATGCTAGGGCTGCCACGATTAGTCACGAATACGTCAACTATTAAAATCGTCGACGACTAATTTAATAGTCGACTCGTCGTTTAAAGCTTTGTAAGATCCCGAAAGACGCAGGAATAAGTAGCAGGATTTAAGAGTGTAATAACGGACTGAAACAGAAGACGGCAGCACTGCATGTACAAGGACCTCATATCACCCCCCCTCCAAAGAAAAGCACTTCACTCTCAAACTGCAGGCTTACTTGTGGTTCCTAGGATATTTAAAAGTAGAATGTGATGCAGAGCCTTCAGCTTTCAGGCCCCTCTTCTGTGGGCCTAGCTCCTAGTTTGGATTCGGGATACAGACACCTACTTTTAGGATCAAGATTAAAACTTTACTTTTTGATAAAGATTACAGTTAGGCTTGAATTAGGTGACCTTAAATCCTTCTTTAGTTATGCTGCAATAGGCTTAAGGCGCCATGGGTGGCTTTGCTCACAATGAAAAGGAGGAGAATAGGTCAAAACATGGAGCCAAGACTTTGTTGAGTGGTTTTGGGTTTTTTTTGCAAAGTTATGTGCACAAACGAAACTCCTCCCCCTTTGTGTCTGTGTGTCTCTGAGCTTCTGTGCAGGATTATCAATAAAATACCGGTAAAAAGTGGCTAGATCGTAGCCGCAGCAGTTCTGACAGAGGTCTCTTCCTGTTATAAGGGCGTTTTTCTCTTCCCACTGTTGTCAAATGCTCGCTCATAGGGGGTCGTCTGGTTGTTGGGGTTTTCTCTGTGTTATTGTAGGCTCTTTACCTTACAATATAAAACGCCTTGAGGCGACTGTTGTTGTGATTTCATGCTATATAAATAAAATTGAATTGAACTGAATACAGTGTCAGTCTATGGCCATCAGCTGAACCTAATATAGCAAGGTCAGTACCCTGCATGTGCCTCAGCCAGTGTAAACTTATCCACACCGGTCGGTTGACTTGGTGTACCCCTGCATCTTTTTAAATCCCAGGATGACTTTGGGTTTGGGATTTACTTCAGCTCATGTTCCCAGTACTGGCCAAGAATTCCTAACACCTGAACGCATCCTCTTCACTTTGTGTCCTTACCATTACAGATGGGAGAAATGACATCATTGCACATACATGACCTTTGTTAAAGACGTTTTGTGGATTGTATTTAATACATAATGTAAAGTTTCAAATCTTAGTCAAAAAAAAATCAGCAAATAAATATCCTTTGAGTGACATATTTTCACATAATAATGTGAAAATAAAATGCAATGTAATCCAGGGCAACTCAGCAACAAGACAAAACTGCTGTGATATTTTTAAAAAAGGAACTTCATCTAGCCAGCATTCACAGGAACTGTTGGCCTGAGGAGAAAAGGTCATGATACACTGAGCCTCTAATGCTTTCACTCAAAACATTCTGACCTTTCATTATGTCATTTGAATTGCCCTAACAGTAACAGTAGGAAAAGTACAAAATTAAAAAGCTTAAGTAGGTGTGACGTTTTAAAGACTGGAGTCAAAGTAGTGGGGTAAATGAGGAGACATAAATGCTGCACCTATAGAGATTTTGATTTAAATTTAAACTGCTCCAGACTCTTATCAGAGACATTCGGGAAATTTTTTCTACTCCTGTAATTGGATGATGTCAGAGTAGGCGCCATTCCTACACGATTAGCTTTGGCTCTGGCGACACCCCACCGATCTGATGTTCAAACCTTATGTTTATAAGTGGCAGCCAATCAGATCAAAGTGTCTTAAAATGTGGGTGGTCTTTAGAGGGCTAAAATAGCTCATTTCAGACAGAAGATGAACTGAGGGGCCACAACAAGGTAGTATAAGATAAATAAGCATCATTTTGAACAATGACTCATACAAAACTACTCCAGTAGCCGAAGATTACAATTATGGACCTGAAAATTGACCTAACGAGTATCCTTTAAAGCTGCTGGTTGCACAACACAGGCAACTTTTAACTATAAAGCATAAAACGATAATTAGATACTGTCTTAGTGTTAACGTCTTAAATTAGGTCCTACCTACCCAATTACACACTGCTATTTTAGTTTTATATGACAAATGTAGAATTACGCTGTTTCATTTCACATTAATGACACTAAAACTGCCTTTACAATTAAACTTCCGGAAAATCGGGTCAGGATATTTTCTTTCCTCAGACAGAACAGAGAAAAGAGTTCACCTCAGTCACATTTCCAATATTCTGTGTGGTTTCTGCTTGGACTGCACGAGTTCATGGCTGCAACACATGCATGAAACAGCTCATGTTTATAATCTGGATGGGACCTCAGCCCTTATACACTATTATGTTACATTATACAAAAATGCTAATGTTGATCATTCTTCCCCCACCCAAAAGAGAAAAAAAATAACCTAATGTCCATCCCGTTTCACCTGTAACATGCACAACAGACTCCATGAACACAGTTTTTCATTTTGCATAGTGGCTCTGGTGTTTCCCCCTTACTGTGAAAAGTTTATTTTTAGCCAGTCTTGTTTCACAGACTCCTGCTCTGCATCGTGACACCACCTATCTTCTCCAGTGGGCCATCAAACCTAAATTTAAAAGCCCAACAAAGCAGCAGAGCTAAGGTCAGTACCACCAAGTGCTATAGAGAGTTCTGGGTAGAACTTCTATTGAGCCAGCCCCTTTGATCCCGTAAAGCAGGGATTTTTCTGCCTTTTAAGCTTATGTGGTGACATAACAAGGTGTCAATGAGCCATAGAGGATCTTTAACGCTCACACTGAAGGAATTTGATTGAGGATTTCCGTGACTACCACATCTGATATAATACTGCCGTTAAAAAGAAAATTGGTAAACAGTAACCAAAGAATCTGGAATTAACAGCCACATACTTTTGCCATTCTTCCCAGAAAACTACCACACTTACCTGCGCATTGGCTTTGCATCCATGCACTGAAGAACAATGTTTGGTCCTATACTTTCAAGTTAACCTGTGAAGAAAAACAACACAAATCAGCATTTCCTGCAGTTAGTCTGACCCCCACAAATATAAGATAAAAACTAGTATTTTTTTTATATCTGATTTGTGATTCCTGCCTGCTGATGGGAAAAAATTACAACCTCTTGTGACAGCAGAATAATCATTTTTTCCTGTAATTTACTCCACACCACAATCCTACCTACCAAATTGACCACTTCTGTCAGCAAGACTGAGACCAAACAATCTACTGCTATCAAATTATGATCCTGCAATAAAACCTACCTTTGTATGCGTTTTGCTGACACTATGTGTGTGCAGCCTTCTCTCTGTAAATGTTCAGGAACTGGTGACTCACAGTGTCTTTCCGCTTCCTTCACATCTCACTCCACTATAACAAATTCTTATTGCCTTCTTCCATTCCATCAATTATTTCCTATCAAACACTTTTATCATCATATCAACCAGTATCACCCCTCTGCTGCCAGTCTTAATTTAAGTTTTTTTCCAGATCCAATAACTTTTTTGATACTCACTAAAGCATGGCTCTCTATAGGCAATCATAGTCCTCTTTTCCTCTTACCTGAGGCACACCTACACCAACCCTGGCTGGTGGGGATTGCTGTCATTTTTCTTTTTAATTTAATGCATTCCCATTTTACTGCGTAGTGTAACTTCATTCGAACATCTTGGCTTTACCAGAAAACTCTGAAGACCCTGGAATGATTTCAATATTTTACAGTCCACCTAGGCCAAACAATGTTTTACCCAAGAAGTTATCATACTTTACTCCAAATTATGATCAAATTCTTATCCTCAGTGATTTTAACATTATTAAAATTATGTTGTAACTGGTCAACCATCAATGACCATTCTAAATTTCCCTATATGAATGAATCCATCCAAGCATTCATTCATTTTCTTCTGCTTATCCATTTCATAAAAGTCACACACTTGATTCTAAAAATAAAATATCAATAGTGTAAATAAAAATAAATATCTCAGCACTGCCAGCAACTCTGTCTCACGAGTGGCACAGAATGCTAAGCTGGCTTCCACCAACTGTTGAGTTAACAGACTGCTATCTATCTCCAAACATACTACAAGTAGCTCTCACTGTTTCAAACTTCAAACACACTGCTACCATTGCAGCGAGACGGAAAGAGACAGCAGGAAATGCTTAAGCCTACTGTAATTAGTGAAGATCAGTGGACAGAAATGAGCTGAACAGCTGAAGTTAAATATCAAGATTTTTTTATGTATGTAAATAACAGTTAACTAAAAAAGTAAGGTAATTCATTACATAGTTTAACGGTTGCACCTTTTGTCTAAAAGTAAACCTCTAAAATAAAAACCCCCACACAACAACAAAACAACAACAACTGGCCTTACTTCCAGTTGATGTCACTCATTGAAAACCTGGAGTCCCTCCTTCACACACACACACACATTCTTTCTTCCTTCTCGTTTTTGTCATATGGTTACACTGAGGTGTCAAGTGTTTCAGCCAGCTGCTGCTGCACTAGATTAAATTAACCTAATCAGAGAGAAGTCAGAAAACAAGACCCCAAAATGGAAAGCGCTGTGTGGGTTCATCCAGACAGTAGCGGGCTTAGAAGGCTCATTTTAACGTAAGCTTTATTTCAAAAATATCCCCAATATTACTCCATCGGTCTACATTAACACAAGGCAGCTCTCTATGAGTTATTTATTTTTAGCTCTTCGACATGTAGCTTAGCTAAGACACGCTAATTGTTGGCTGATAGCTGCATTAGCAGTTACCAGACTGGTTGGCGATTTATGATTTCCAGTGCTGTGGTAAGAGTTGTGTTAGTATGTGACTTAGCCAAAGAGGAGATAAAAGGAGAAGTAACGTCTTCCGAGGCTAAATGCGTTCCAAAAAACTGAAAATCGGGACTAGCTTCTTAACGCTACTTAACTTCCCGAGGATATGTGGGAAAGCTTGCTAGTGCTACAGCTAGCACTGAGATAGGAATTCCCTTCACAATACAAACGTTAAAACAACCTAATACAAGCAGAGACAACAAATTTAAACTATAAACGACATTCAAGAATAATCCAAAGCGTTTAGACTATTTCTGGTCGTCAGAGATGCTGTTTTAGCATCAGCCCACAAGCCACGGATTGAATATTATAAACTGTAGTGCTAACATTAATTAAATCAGTAGTGAGCGGTATATACCGATACCATAAGCAATGACAACTACGTAGGAAAAAAGCAAGAGTGTACGAAACGGGTTTTACCTTAGAGTTCCATCCCAACCACAGACATTAGTCAGCCAAGCTCTTAATGTTTACAGTTTTAAGCCGTCGGTTGTTGAACTCCGCAGCTTTTCTTCCTCGGTAATATGCGCATGCCGAATGTCAAGCGCCACTTCCTGATAATTTGATTTCAAAATAAAAGTAGGGGACTATGTCATCGCACGTAAAGATAAATAATAAAAAATAAAATGTACCTGAAGTACTGTGCAAAAGTCTAGTGTAAGGATCTAAAAAGTAGTTTGTACTATTCCAACGAGCTTGAAAGTCAACATTTTGTTTGAGCATCTTTTTTCTACAACACAGCCTGTCCAAGTCCAACAGGACAATGCCAGTGCTGATCGTGCTGATCGATGTAGCGGTTCTGAATGACAGCAACATCAGAAAGAAGGAACACGAGAA